CCCAAAGCCCGCCCCTGTGGCCCCCCCCCCCCCCCCCCCCCCCCAAACCTTGCCATGCAAACCCAATACATGTGGCAACTTACAACACAGAAATCAATGATTACACTGGGTGAGCCTGTGCTAGAAACACTCGGAGTGTAAATGGGAAGATAACTGTGCAATGCGTTGTGTTGATTGACGTACGTTTTTTTCTTTGGTGTTCATTTTTCATTTCATTTTAAAGCCATAGCTTTAAAGAAAGAAGAAAAATATTTTCACCCCTTTTAAACTTACAGATAATTTCACCCCTGTAAGCTACAGGTCTCGATGCATTCAGAGTCTTTTCTATTGGCTGTCATGCCGGTGTGATTACACAGTCTGCTTGTGAGCTGGATAGTAATGGAAATGTATTTCAACATCTTCTCAATAATCCTTATTAAGCATGCTGTTTTTGTTATGAAGCAGTAAGTTCATGGCTCCCACTGAAGTGACATGCAGTATGAGAATCCAGGGTCAGTAACTTTGGTCTTGAATTTTTTGTATTCTAAAATGATGATATCATTGTTGTAGTGGTCTGAGTTCTTGAAAAACGTGCTATGGAAACTTCATTACAGCTTTCCTAAAAATAAACAAATAAAAAACCCAAGCAAAACCTTTTGAAACTCTAGATACTTATTTTTGTGAATTTAAAGTGCTGCGTTACAGCAATTTTTCATGAATTAATTTTAGAAATTTGGTGTGTAGATTACTGCATTCATGTGCAAGTTTATGCAGTACATAAAGTTTGCTTATGGACCTCATGTTACTTGTTGTCGTTGTTATTTCATATTGATATTATTTCTAGTTCCTTGAAGAATAACCAAGAAAATGTCCCTGTAGTGCTAGGTACCAAACAAATACAAAATGGTCTTACTCTGTACCAGACCTACCAGTGACATGGTCAAGCTGGATGTGCAGCAGTGGCAGCGCATGTGAGGACCCAGGCCAAGTGAATTCAGTGACAGCAGCAAACAGGGGAGAAGTGGCTAAAACAAAAGGTCCAAGGATGAATAACACAAATGCAGAGACAAAAAGGCCATGGGAGTAGTGGTGGAATAAAGTTTCTTTGCGATGTCTATTCAAAATTCTAAACAGTCTGAAAATCCCAAAGGGTAGTTTCTCTGGTTGGATCTTGTGTGTGACTGCACTTTTTCTCCAGAACAGGTAGCTGAAGGACAGGTAGCTTCGGATAGCTGAGTCTGAAGGACACCCATAGGCTAGGATGGTCCCACTTTGTTGTTTTCCCTACTACGGTGGGTTCTGGCATTGTGGTTTTTGTAGCCTAGTGCTGCACAGTTGGACAAAGGGGAGTTTCAATTTTATGCGGTCTTTGTGTGTTAGTGATTTTAATAGTTGTTTTCCTCTTTGTTTTTTTTTTTGCTTTTAAAGTTGTCGTATACATTCATAACTGTCTAATGATAAATATTGTGTTTAATGAAAAATGTCGTGGGTTGTTTTTTTTTTTGTTTGTTTTGGTTTTTTTTTTGTTCTACTTTCCATCTTTTATCATTAACTGATCTTGACTAGCAACTTCTCAGAGGAAAAAGAGGATTCAAGTAATGGCAATGTATTTTCTCTACAGGATTTATGAACGCATCATTGATCCCCCAGAAACTAATTTGACACCTGAAAGCAATTTATGGCTGGGACAGAGAAACAGGAAACATGGCTTCTTTAAGGTAAGCAGATACAAAATGGCACACGAAGACGGAAATTAATAAACAGTCAACCAGATATTTCTGATTAGTTGTCTTACACTCCTGAAAGCTGATTTGTGTGAATTTTAGTAGAAACTGTGGACTGGGGATTTGAGGCACGTCCAACACTTAGAGAAAAGGGTCTCTTCCTGCAAGGTAGAGTACCGTAGTCACCGACTGAAGTGCCCAGTATTTGGGGGTTTTGTTTTGTTTCCTTACTTTAGGTTTCACATACCTGCTTGTGCTCTGCCTAGCCACTCCTGGGGACAGAACGAGACTGTGGAGGCAGCATCAAAGTCTATCCTTGGCTTTCATCTTTAAACCTTCCCGAAACAACAGCTTTGCTGTGGTCTCTTGGCCAGTTGTGGTCTTAGTTGCGTTTGGAGGCCGTTTCCTCCTCGATTTTACACGCTTGAAAAGCCCTCTCCTGTATGTTTTCTTTCAGCTTTTTTTGGCCCCTGGTGAGACTATGTGATTTTCTGGTTGAGGCTGAATGGCTGAACCAACCAACATACAAAATCCACCAATAAATGAAAACCACCCCCTCCACCTGAAAATTAATTTTTTTTACTTTGTAAGCAAGTTACAGAAAAGTTCCTGATATTTCTTCCAGTTTTGGATAACAAGCCATGGTGCAAGTGTTTATCGGTGAAAGGGTTTATAGTGCAGTGATAGGCCAATCTGCCTATCCTCAATATTGGCATGGATTTGTTGCCACGGTGATTTACCCTTTGAAGCTGTCAGTTCATAAGACAGGTTTACAAGTTGCTGTTTTTCTGAGGACCTCTCCTCCAAGTCCCCAGATTTCAACAAGCTAGGACAATTATTTTATGCTAAAATTATTTAAGCATAGCAGCTAACAGTTTTAACTGTGAAACAGAGGTAAAAGCTAACTTTTTACTTAAATGACGGTCCAAGAGTTGCTCTGAACCTAGAGTACATTTCATCCTCCAGCAGCTGAGCTGTCACTGTGAAGTGAAATTGATAGTATTATTTTATTCTACAGCTGTTGTTTTTTTACCTCAGCTGCTTCCCATAATTCCACAGATGGTAAACATATGTTTATAGCTACATAGGAAAAAACCGAACTTATATTGGATTCGCCCATCTTAAATTCTTATTTTATGCAGGCAGTCAGAGCCTCAGAACTCTGGGATATTATATGTTTGTAAATTAATATTTCTACGCGTTAACACTTTGGAAACAGCAGGGTAGCTAATGATATGCTAATGAGCTGACAGTTTTTATTGATCATAATGAAAGCCGACAAGTGCCTTACTTTGCTTTATGCATGCTTGAATATTTTACTAACTTCAGGGCAGAAATATAATTGGTTGTATTTTTTTAATCCTGCTTGAGAGTTTCAGAAATCTTACTTTTTTTTATGTTACTCATTGCAAAAACTTGGGATTTTGCCAGTTTGTAAAGAGTACACGTCTCTTTCCATATATTTACATGCTCAGTAGGACCTCCCTTTCTCTTTCAGAGCAATTTGTTTCACTGTTTTAGCATATAAAAAAAATGGATCTATTTTCCTTAATGTAAACAGAGATCTGCAGGGAAATAAGAGCGTTAAAAAAGAATTAGCATTTTTGTATGTGTGTTGGAGCCGTGATAATCTATGTAACAGAAAGCACTGGATACTGTTCTATCATCTTCGCTGCGCCAAAAATTTTCTTACTTCAATGATAATTAATTTGTTGTGTCTCTCCGTAAATGAATAGCATTAAAGCACATTTTGGGCCACACTCTCATGCCTATTTTAGATCATAATTCTTCAGTATATCAGAAGAGGAGGGGGGGGATATGATATTCAAAAGTCACGGTGGCCAGTTGCTGCCATTTTTCTTATTTATGCTTTTGTTCCACATCCTTGCTTACAGTGATTATTCCACAAGTAGCCCTGCTGTGTCTGTGGCCTTGCTGGGGAATGAAGTGCTCTATGGCATAATTGAGGGAAGCGAAGTCTCACCCCTTAGAACTAGTATCTCTTACTAGTTGTAATTTACCTGCTACAGCCAAGCATTTGGAGTTCAGACAAGATGGAATGGTTTTAGCACAGCAGTGGTGGGAGCAAATGCAGAACAGACTTAAGATAGCTTTGGCTGTGTCCTTTGAAGGGAATCTTATTAATTACTTCCTTCGAAAAATACACGCTGAACCTTCAGGTTTCTTTGTGAGGCCCAAAGCCAAGTTTTGTTTTAGGGCTAGAGGTTACCATTATAATCAGATTAGGAAACCAAAGTAAATGCAACTGAAAGGAGGAAGAGAGTGATACCAGACATCCAGGGAACCCTCATTCTAGGATGGATCTGACGGCTGTCAGGATCAGAATTATCTGCAAAATTCATTTTATTGCTGGGGAGAACCCTTCCCCCTAAGGCTCCCTCCAAAGAGCTGCTGCAGAAATGAGCTTATTAATGCATTGCTGACTAGGTGATTCATGTCAAAAGATGTTAATTTTCATATCTGCTCTAGCAGGCTCAATTGATCCTGCTGCTGCGCCTGGGGATTGTATAGTAGGTGTTTGAAAACTATGTTGGTATTTTTACTGCACCGCATCATATGTATACGTGGGCCTCTGTAGTCATTTTGGTCGCAGAGTCATATAGACTAAGGTGAGGTAAATACAGTGCCAAGGGCAACCGTTGAAGCACCTGGCATGGGGCGTGCGTGCCCGGTGTAGAGGAGCACAGCGCGGATCTAGTGGAGATCTAGTGGTGTTGACACAGCACTGCCTAAGCGCAGGGTTTCGGGCACATCTGCCGGTGCCACTGTGCAGAGCCTTTCGCCAGCGCTGGCTGATGCAACTTGCACAGCTGTGTGGCACGCATTATCTCTGTGGGAGAAGTAGGTTTTAAAGAGGGTGAGAGGCAATGGAGGAAATGAAAACGCAGGAGGGGAGAGCTCATGGAATATACGACCCTTTTCACAGAGTGTGGGAGGAGTTCTCTATTTAATGGAGACACGAGAGTGCAATAAACAGGGCTTTTGTATTACGTCCTCATGGGGTGGGCTTGATACTTAGCGCTGCAGGCATGAATTTAGTCTTGTAGCTGGTTATCTGCCTGCACAGACGAAGGCTCTTCAAGCTAGTGAGTCCTGATGCTGAACCGAAGCTTTGGTTGTAGTTAGCCAAATGCTTTAATGATAACATAAAGGTGATGTCTGCTTGCGAAGGGAAAAACCGGGAGGATTTTGACCACTGACATCTCCCTGTCAAGGCCAAATCCTGATGTCCTTGCACAGAACGTGGACTGAAGAACTCTACCCTGTGCCAAGGTGAACCAGGGCCCTGGGCTTCCCTTGGGGAGCTGTGCACGCCTAATTCTCCTTCTGGCTGTGGTCACAGAAAGCTCTCGGCAACCGGGACTTAATGCTGAAGGAGGAATAGTCCAAGTTTGTTCATACGTGTTACAATAATTATGGCTGTAATAAGTGTTTGCCTATAATGAAGTCTTTCTATTAAAAAAATACATCAGCAAAATTTCTGCTCTTTGAAGGTTCACTTCTATATTTGATCGTATTAATTCTGTTTCAGGGGGTTTATAGACTTAGAAGGCATCTCTAGTGGTGAATTGAACTTCGTACGTTTTTCCATGGTAACATGCTTTCATGTAGCCAGAAGTCAAGGCACAAAAATAGTTGTGTTTCCTCTTCAGGTTGTATTTAAATGCAAATCTAGCCAAAAGACAATTGAGCAGTGGGTCTCTGATGCAGCAAACATGTTTGAAGTTCAGTATGCACTTTTGGAGAAAGAAAAAAAAAAAAAAAAAAAGGCGGAGGAAAACATCACTTCCGTCTGGATGATGTGCTGTTAGCTGTGTGATATGGTCTGGTAAAACTTCCTAATCTCATTTACTCTTGGTTGAGCTTTTCACTGGAGAGGCTTAAGCATTGAAATATATTTTTGTGCTTCACCTTCTAATTTCTCGCTGATGACTGCTAGCAGAAAGTATGTAAAACGGCTTTCAGGATGTTCCATTTCCAGTGACAGTATTACTTCTCATTATTATGATGGTTTCATTATTCTCATAGATGAAAAGGTTAATAAATGAATATACTTCTGCAAGAAAGACAGTATGATCTGATTATGTCTATTAATATTTTCAGTTAATATTTGATCATGAAACAGTAAGCAGGAAACGGTGCTTGCTGATCACCTTCTGCTGTTTTAGCAAATGAACACATAAATTTTAAGTGTTACCTACTGTACTTGCCAGGCTTCAGGGGCGATCTGAGATCTATATTTTATTTGTGGATAGAGTTCAATGTTTTGAGCAAGTGACACTGTCCTCAGTCTGCAAAATTCACTCTATTGCAGTTTAACTGAAAATTAAAACATAGTATTAAAAATCAGTAATTTAATTAGATAATAGCTGCCACAATGATAAATTTCCTTTCACATTAAAGAAATTCTTCTGTGTTTGGAAGGAGCTGGAGCCCTGTCACAAACATCTGATTAAGTCAGGGAAAGCGCATATAGCAGCACCAGAAGTCCCTTGTTTTCTCTTGCTCCTCTCCCGTGCTGACCATGACGTTATTAAAGGTAGTGGATCTTGTGGAGTAAGTATGTTACACAGTCAAAGATGGAGCAAGAGCTTCGTACTGAGCTTAAAAGAGCAAACACAAGCTTCAGCATTTTCTAGGCTATTTGAAGGATCTAGGGTTCTTCAGGACCCAGGTGTGCAGGGATACCGGGCAACCCTTTGTGTCTGCTGCTTCCACCGGAGATATCCTGGCAAGTCAGGGACAACAGAAGATGCGGCCAGTGCCGGACCTTTTGGTCCTTCCTCTCTCCCGTCCTGCCCAGTTCAGGTTCTGAGCCTCAAACAGCCTGCACTAGCTGGCTTTGTCCTTGGAGTCCTGATTTCTGCCAGTCCTGCACAGGGGATCTTTCCATCTGTCTGGGTTAGAGAGAGGATTTAATGCTAACTGATGGCGTGATTACATGAACTGCCTGTTGAAATACAAAGCTAGTAGGCTAAACTAAACCAAACAACTGAAGTGTAGACTCTTACTTACCTCTTGCACTATATACTTCTCTTTTCATAATGTTTCATTTCACAGTCTTATTTTGCTGAATCGCTAAAGAGTATTGCCGTGTTTTCTTTTTGTCTGTTGGAAAAGTGTGTCATGGGCTTGAGTAATCCCATTTTTAAGACACTTAAGCAGCTTACGTTTGGCAATTGCAAAAGACAAAGCAGTATGATTTCTGTGTTTTATGAAAATTAATATCCAAACACACAGGAAGATAGGAGGAGTTGTTATATTTTGTCTGTCTTCAGTTCTTTTCCTCACAAGAAGAGTGAGCTGGTCAATTTTTTGCACCCGCTTGAGAAATTACTTGTGAAACAGCTTGTACAGGTCTAAGTGAACGTTTGCAATCAATATTACCAGTTTTCTCTTCTTTTTACAAAGGGTGTTATTCAAGATGTGAAAGTCATCTTTATACCTAATGGATATATAACGCAGTGTCCTAATCTGAATCGCAGTAAGTAGCATTTTTTTTCTTCTCTCTATTTTAGATTTTTTCATACAGATTACGTCTTTGTTTTAAAAATAATCTTTTCAGGCTTGTCATTTTTGCATGTGCTGACTTGCAGAAGGCAAAAATTCTATGTAAACAGATTGCATTTTATGTTCAGATAAATCAAGTCTGATATACTATTGGTTATTTATGGGTTATTGTGTCTTTCCTTCTCTTCCTTTCTGTTTCTTTTTACTCTTCCTTTATTGAGCATGCCCAACCTGCAGTGATTTCTTAAGTCTGGTGCAAGGAATCATGGATTTGCAAGAACTCCTGGCAAAAATGACTGCAAAAGTAGGTACCTAAGCTTCTTTGTCAGTTGCCTATTTCCTTCTGTGCTAAGACCAACACGAAAGTATTTATTCCTTTTGCAGTTATTCTGTGTTTTCATGGTAGAGCCTTTTTTTTTTTTTTTTTTTTTCCTCCTTCTGCCAGTAGCCCTATCTGCAGCGGACTTATGGATATAGTTTCACGGATGTCACTTAAGCCTCATACGGTTTCTGTTGTCTGCCTTATTATTTGTAAGATAGTGACAAAATGCCCAGGGTCTGATTTTTTGTAAGAAGCCTTAGCATGATTTCCCTTTTCATGCTGAGGGATAAATGCAGAAACAAAGGAGCGAAATCCCTCACAATTTCCTCACCATGTGATGCTGTCAGAGGGGTGTGTGTTTGCCTATGGGAAGTCCTGTGAAGTCTTCAGGACTGGCATAGTCTCCTTCCTGGCAATTGAAATGAGGCCCCAAAATGGAAATGCCTATGAAGCTGCCAGCTGTGCTGATCTTGACATCACCTTTGATCAGTGGCTTTTACCAGTGTAAAAGTTAAGTTAACCCAGCTCCAGGCGGTGTGTGCTTGGTCTTTTTTTTTTTTTTTTTTTTTTTTTTTTTTTTCCCTCCCCCGGTTTGGATTGTGTATAGGATGAATACGAAGCTATAGTGGTTTTTTGTTTGGGATTTTGGATATTAGCTTTAGGCTCGGCTCCCCCAATAGACAGCCAAGGCCCTTCAGCTAAGGCAGTGGTGAAGTTTTGGGGTAGGAAGCTGTGTTTTTGAGGTGACTGAACCCCTGATGTGTGTTAAAGGGCAGTCTGCGAACACTTTTTGAGGTTAATGTTGGTGAACCATCTGGTCAGTGGTAAAAGGCAATTAATTGCCTCATCTGAAACAGCACTTATGCGCTAATTACTTATAGATTTAAGTGTAACTACAGCCAACCTGTAGATGCCTTTAATCTCAGTGTAGTTACTGAACAGGAATTTAAAAAATAAGATTTGCATAGCAGTGCTGCTAGTGTAAAAGAATTATACTTGTTCCTGTGCTGCTTTTGAGTGTTCTTTTCCTTCCTAATAGGAAAGGGGAAACTTTGTTTTTACAGAATATGCGCATTATGCTGACAATCTGCTTAGCTGACGTGCTTTGGACAGCGAAATGTGAAGCTTTTAGTTCAGTTTGCTGCTTGTACTGTGAAAGAGGGGCAATTATTTTGAGCCCTGCTGGTGGTAAGAGCAAGTTCCAATTATGCACTGTACTGAGTAACTTGCTTTCTGTGCTGTTAATTATATTTTTGCTTGCTAGTACTTTACGAGGGGAAGAAAATAACAGTATTTGTACTGCAAAGACTCTGTGCTTCCATGAAGTGGCACTGGGGTAATCCTTCATTGCAAGTTCCTTTTCTGTTATAGCAGTGCACTGACCGTTTTGTTGCAGTTCTTCCAGAAATACTGTTGTCCAGGAAAAATGCATGCAGCAGGAAAGGAAGTTAATTCGGTAGACAAATGCAAGTTAAAACTAGAGGGACTTGAGGGAAGCATTAAGGTTTGTATCTACCTTTTCAGTCCTAGCCGCAATAGCCGCAAGTGGTACTAATGTAGATACAAGCATATCATATGGTGGCAAGGCAACGAGCAAGGCTTAGAAGGGCTGTGCAGCTGCCTGCAGAGATGCCGTTAAGCAGGGCAGGTGGTCGGAGAACGGCTTGCTAATGTACATGAGCGATGAACCCCAGATCCTGGTCCCGCACCAAGAGATGCGAAGCAGGAACATGGTGTTTTGGAAAAGCGGGCCCCGTGGTTTGATGTCCTGTTGTTGCTTTTAGGTTCCATTATATCTAGGATTTCAGTTTCTCCCTCAATCTGCATTTGGTTACAGCTGTTTTACGGCATGGAATATTCCAGTGAATGTTTTTTGCAATGCATGCATATGGGCAGTGTATATAACGTAAAGCTATGAAGACTCAGACCAGGGCTTGCCTGGGGAGAAAACATCAGGCTAGTGGCTTCAGGTTCCAATAATTTGGTGGCAGTGCAAGTTATGCAGTACGTGCGTAGGAGGAGAGAGTACCTGCTTGGTCGGGCTTTACCTCAGGGTCCCATGAGTCTAGTGCTTGCTCAGGATGGGACATGGGGTCTAAATAAGGGGCCCAGCAGAGCGTTGTCGTAGCAGATTGTCGTTGAGTGTTATGTACAGGAGCATTTGATCATGGCCTGTAACAAGCCAACAGCCGTTATGTCTTCATCCCACCTATGTCTTGTGAAGACGTAGCTTTTAGAGATGAGTAAATGCTAAATTTTTAAGCAAAGATGAGTAACTGCTAGCTTTGTAAGCCCATTTTATTTTTGTCATCATTTGAATTAAATCTGAATCTTTGCAGTATACTAAGTTTAGTTGCTTTAATCTTGTGTCCTTAAATAGAGAGACACCATAGGTCAGAGTGTTAGAAATTTGGCTAAAATGTTAATTTGCTGCAGGTGAAAAGGATCATGTTGTATTTCAGCATTCCTAACTGCCGTGCTGGAATACTGTTAGCTCCTCTTTAAATACAATCGCTAAAGTAATTCATGCAACTCTAACAATCTACTGAAATCCGTCTGGGCATCTCCTGCATTTCTTTGAGTGGAATATAATTTCTTTTTGGTAAATTATGGGCCCACACTCTAGGGTGTGCTTTGTATTCAGATGTGTTTGTTACATGAAGACTTTCAGCACAAAAATTTCTAATGAATCTTTCCTTGGTTGAGGTCAGAAAGGTTGAAGCTTCAGCTTGGTTAAAACCAAGGAAAATCGAGCATTGAGTTCATTGATAGACTAGTTAATCTGGTTTGTTTACATCATGGATTTATATGGCCGTGAATACTTTTGTGAATAACAAAATTTTCCTTGTAAATTTTGATAGTTTGGAGGTTTTTTGATGTTTTTGTTTTTCATTTTGCCAGAAACAATACATTTTTAACAGAAGTCTGTCATCTTTCCGTTATTTGTATGGGCAAAGGAGAAGCAAAGAAAGTGTTAAATAAGTTTTGCGAATAATAGCTAGCCAAATATTCCTTAATGTTAGGAACTTAGGATCTGGTTAGTATATGGAAAGTGTTTGGTACAGTGTGGGCTGCTTCTCCCTCATGAGTTTATTTCTATTCATAACTTAAAAATATTTGAAGCTTGAGAATTTTCTACTTATGTTTTAAATGTTCAACAAATCTAGTTGTGTGCATTTGGCAACATTTGGAAGGATATTTCAGCTAATTTTAAGGAATTAATTGTCTTATTGAGCTCAACAGAAGTTTTTCAGTTGAGGCTTGAAGTTGAGAAACAGAATGTTTCTGGTCACTCTAGTATAGCAGGTAACAGTTAAATGCTGTTTCTGAACAGATTCTGTGGGCTGTGGTACGTTCACTGACCTCTGTCTTGGAGGGTTTGTTGTTGCATGCCTGCCTTCTGGTGATCTACTTGATTGATTTGCTATGTATAAGGTATTTCTTAGAACAGGAAGTAAATGATTTTTAAGTAAATGAAGCTTATCAAGGTAATGCAAATGACAGAAAAAAATTAATAAATTGAAAATATTTATTCTCCTGGAGCTTTCTTCTTTTTCTAGGGAATAATTTCTAGGACAGACAAAGGACAATATCAAGTACCACTTTCAAGTCTGGGTATTTCTAAAGTCCTTTCTCTCTAAAATTTGTATAGCCTATTTATATGGGAGTGTTCATGACCCCCCCCCCCCAAACAAACCAAGATATGTTAATGAAGATGTTCAAGACAAATCAAACACCTTTTTAACAAAACTGAGTGTATTTTATATACTGTAAATATAATGACCAAATATAATGACCTGAAAATGGTTTCTGCTGAAAACAAGCAGTTCAGTAAGAGGATGGTTTTGCCTCTAAAATGTGAAAAGCAGTTTTGAAGTCGCTAGATCATGCTGAGTCTGGGGGAGATGAGTATCAATCCCCTGTTATCCCAGAATAACAACAAATAAAGAGCTTTCTCTCATGAGGACTGCAGGGGGAAAAAAAAATCACAGAAATTGGCTTAGTATTTCTTTTCTTTTTCTTCCTCCTAAAGTAAGTTGCTCTCTTACTGGCAGGAATGAAAAAGGACATATTAGAATACTTTCATTTAAAGTGGATGGAATTTTAGAGGATAGAATATATGAAATTCAGGTATATGGCATTATGTAAAAAATACTATAGCACTGTGCATTCCTTTTTTTATAAAACTTGCTACTATTAAAATGTAGCAACCTGTAATGTAGGATAATAGCATCATATTTATAGCAGAATAAAGTATGCATTCGTCTTGTCTTGTGCCAGATTTAGGTAGCCTTGCTATTTGCAGTGCCTTCAGTGTGATGGCTTATAGGCATAAGACAAATATAAAGAGTCAAGACCTTGAGAAACTCTTATCCAGCTGGTACCAGGGTAGTTTTTAGAGCAATGGCAGTTCTGGGGCCTGAAGAATGCACATATTTACTTCTAAATATTAAGCCTGTATTTAGATATTGATTTATTTTTAGTATTAGTAAATGGGAAAGTCATTTTGAGTGCTCTTACGGATTAGAGATGATGGCACTGGGTACCAGGTGTGCGTAGGCGGGGGTTGTTCCTCTCCAGAGGATGGTAAGATGGTACCTTGTACGAGGGGGAGCTCTGTGATATGGCTTAGGACAGGGTGGTTCAAAAAGCCCTTTGCTGCTGCTACGTGAATGAGCGTTGTATCCACTTACTATTGCATAGTATCTCATCAGTAAACATAGCAATTGCTAGCGTGCAGATGTAATACTTGGAAAAGATGCATCAGTTTTAGTTTCTTGATATGCATTTTAGTAGTTGGAATTGAGGAGGTAATGGGAACAGCAAAGGGCATTAAGAGCTAGCCACCAGCCCGGGGTTTACTCCAGGAGCATGGCTTCTCCGTTAATCACAGTCTGGGAATATTTTGTACTACACTGAATTAAAATGCTGTCTTTCCCCTCTATATCTTACTTGCTATTATAAGGTTAAGACCTTTCTAAAAGTCAGAAAGTATTAGTCTGGCTGATGCTTAACAGTGATGAGATGGGGATGATTAGGAGAAGTCAGTCTGCCAGTCTTCATGCTTTCTGACTTGCAATCAGGTTGCTGAGCAATTAAGACTTTTTTTTTTTTAAAAAACAATTGTAGTTTGTGTACTTTTGGTAGTGCCCGGACATTCCTGAGGGGATCTTGGTGGGGTTTGTTAGCAGTACAAGAGACGACTGCGTGAGTCATAACTGTTGTCAGTTAGCATGTATAGCTCCATCGAAGTCCAAAGAGTAGGGTTAGTTTATACCTGCTGACATCCTGGTTCAGTGTTTCGAAGGTTGTAGTCAAACTTGGTTCGGCTAAAAATAAGTATACTGCTTTCTCATATTTGCTTTTTTAAATCATGTGTTTGAATTGCAGAAATCTCATCAAGTTACTTTCATTTATAGTTAAATTATGCAGAAACAAGACTGAGTCAGTTGGAAGACTGTCATTGTGAGAAGACTTGTCAAGTAAATGGATTGATCTATAGAGACAAAGACTCATGGGTTGAAGATGATCACTGCAGGAATTGCACATGCAAAGTAAGACTTTCTAAAGGAGTTTAAGGAGTAGGACCTAATTAAAATGTGAAAATGGTCCTTGAATACATAATGTTAACTCTGAGAATTATTATGTTTTTAGTATGCATCTGGTGGCAGTATGAACAATAGGGAGCGAAATGGTAAAATAAAGAAATAAAAAATTGACATTGCTTATGTGCAGGCTTCATAAATAAAATCTGCTTTCCCTTGACAATGCTTTCTTATTTGCTGTAATTATATCTGTGAGGACTTTACGGTTTTGGGGTGAAAGCGTGGCATTGTCTGCGTTTGGTTTGGAATTGTTTTCAGTGCAGTAGTTTTTTTCGAAAAGGAAGCATTATCTTAATAGTATTCATAGAAGCTTAGTTGCATCTTGCATGGTAACAACATGCAGATTCTGTTTTTGGTGTTTATCACTCTGAAAAACCAAGGAACAGAAGAGAATTAGTATGTAAATCTTGTCTTGTTGAAATTATTTGATAAATATCTGAAGAGAGTCTTTGTTTGCTCAAGAAAATAGAAAACTGATTGTTAGAAATCTCAGAGATGATTGGCACAGCCTACAGAAAGCGGTGCTTATGTTCTTCTAAAGATGGGCTTATGTTTTCCGCTTAATGCACTTTGCTCAGGGAAAGTGGGGTAAAAACAGTAATACGTATCAAAATGGGGTGGTTCACCTCCACATGCATTTTGATTCAAGTTTGTGGTTGGATAGGATTAAATTTGTTACTGAAGGATGGATCTGTAATCCACAAGGCTATTTTCATTTACGTAAACAGTTTTTGGTCCTCTGCGTTTTGTATGAAATACTAATGACAGCAGTCATAGTTGAATTTTGTCTTAAAAACCTTTGCTTAGAGTGGAGTTGTGGAGTGCCGAAGGATGTCTTGTCCCCCTCTCGATTGTCCTCCTGATGCTCTCCCAGTGCATGTGGAAAGCCAGTGCTGCAAAATATGCAAGGGTAAGTACATCACACATACCTGTTGGTTTCACCCTCTTTTTAAGCAGAGTTAAACTTGTCCTGAAAGCAGACATGTTTTATAATGACTTTCATAGGTCCTGGTAATTTGGGTAACGTGAATCACAGTGGCAAACTTGATTTAAGAAGAAAAATAATTGCTGAGAAATGAACAAGCATTGCAAATTTCTCAGATTCCCTTTTTACCTGTTGTCAGTGTAAAATGATTCATCTGCTTGTTTGGGGCTGGGAAGCCTTACTTGGCTTCAGCTTGTATCTCCTGTTGATGTTGAGGACCATCAAGCCTGTGGTCTGAACTTTCTGTACTGATGAGTAATAAATTGAACTGTTATCTGTTATCTTTTTGCCTATCTTTTAGTTTGGGTTGGAAGGCTGTTTTTTAAAAGAAACATGACAGAATCTCAGACCCTGGTTAGTATCACTGTGTGGAGTGATAGTTTGCTGTAATTAATTTCAAAATAAATCTATGAGAAGAAAGAAAAAAATAGAATTAAATTTTTTGATCAGTGTTATTGTCAGCTTTCAGTTCCTTCTGGAAATGAAAGCCATAAGTAATATTCCTGGAAGGAATATTCAGTATTTGTTGCCTTAATAGTAGTACAAAGGACAAAGACAATTTATATATGGAAGTTTTAGCTGAATACTGATGCTAGTCTTATCTTGAGAAGCACAAATTATCTTCCCCGCCCCCCCGCTCCGGTCTTGGAGACTAGTAAACTTCATGCATGAGTTTTTCAATAATTCATTAAGACAGGGATGTTGAATTATTTTAAGATTTATTAGGAAAATAATAACACTTCTTTTAGTATTCTGTCACCCTTCCTCAGTCATTGAATTCATTAGTCCCATGCACAAATGTCCTTTAGCTGTGATCTTGCACTTGCTCTTGTTTACTCATGTTATCTTATTTCTCTCAGCTATGTGTCGGCGTGAGTATTCTGCTTATTGAAAGATGTTTATGAACAGAGCACTCAGGTTGTAAAGTGGCCACACTGGCCAGTATTTTTGTTCTCAAAATATTTTTGCTTGTAACATTGAAAGTCTAGAAAGTTCTTTCACGAAACTGGATGCTTCTCTTGACACCACTCCTTTGCTGACATGCATGTATGCACAACGGTCAAAATCTGACACAAAGGAATTGTAAGGCACAAAATCGTAGATTCAGCGTATATCCCCATGAGTAAACTGTGTTCCTGTTATTTGTAATGGAAAGATGAACAATCAAACTTGCCTTTTGTCAGTGATTGGCACAAACTTGACTCGTTATTCTGACAAGAACTCAGCATGTCAGTCAATGGGAAGAGATGTATGGAAGTTGATTGAAATTGATTGTAAATGCCAGCTCCTTGACAGAATGATGTGCTAGGGCCGCAGTTAGTCACTTTTGGGTAGATAGTAGTAATTGCGGAGGCTTTCCGAAGAGCTGCACTGCAGGTGTTAATTTCTCTGTGCTTTTCCTATTTAGCTCTGATAGAATCATCAGCTGTAATTTACCGTCTCTAAGGATTATTGAATGGCTGGATTATTGAACAGTTTCCTGTCTTAGCTGAGGGTTAACGAACAAAGTAGCTCTAATGTCTGATATGTTAAGGGTTTTAAAAATGAGGCGGTTCTGTTTTGATCCCTGCCATCTTGTGTTAGCCTTTCAACTAATATTTGACAAAAGACTATAATTTTATTTAAAATCTCATCATTTTTCTGAGTTGTGCATTAACTTGCTTTCTGGTGTGTCCATTCTTTTGTTGAAAGCAGTCATATCAAGAGAATAGGCAAGAAAGAAAAAGGAAATTTCTCTAATTCTAATCTTTCCTCCAAAATAGTTACTGGGATTCCTAATTTAAATGAAGCTTCCTGATCTGAAGTTTTCTTCGTAAGTGAGATCACAACAGCTCTGGCATAAAAAGTAGGGCAATGTTAGAAAAATGAAGAAAACTAGGATACCAAAAGGAAGAAGCTTGTTTTTTTAAATGCATCGTTGAGGATGAAAACTGAGTTATTCTGAAAATCTTGTGTTCTTGTTTTATGGTTGGTTGGTTGGTTTGTTTGTTTTTTTAAAGAAATGCACATTTTCAAGAGTGTAAGCTTGAACAAGAAGTCCTTAGGAACAATTTTATGTCTGGAAACTTATGCAGATTGATCTAGTAGTCCTTTATGTTTAAAATTTGGGAATCAAACTGGCTATGACAGTTGCTGCTGTGGAGTACTCCTATTGGTATCACCTGTAAGGGGTACACATGTGTACCTGTAAGTGCTTGGTTCCCTTACCTTGGTATTCAGGAGAGAAACTGAGGCAAACCAGTGATAGATTGTGACTTTTTTTGAGAACTGAGTACTTTGAACACTTCCACTTTCAATGTGCATGTGCCTTCACTCAGGAAACTTCTAAAGCTTTGTTCAATTGCAACATAGGATTCGTACCTTTTGGCTCTCCTTTCAGTGTCATAGGTCAGACTGTTACTGGTCAAGTGTTGAGAGAGCTGAAACACCGCAACAAGAAGTTATTTTATCAGTGTTTAGCATTGATCTTGTTAGTAATGTGGAGTGCCTTTATGATGGATACTTGATTTGTGTAAGATCATAATAGTCCGACTCTTCTCTTTAATTAATGGATTTACTGTCCTCCTCTGGAATTGAAATTTAGACATCTAGTTCCAAGAGGACTGCGATAGTTATGGTAATACTTGACCGAGCCGTATGCTACTGTGGTCCTGCTGGAGGTCACCTTCTTATTCACGGTGGCAGTAGTCCTAAGCTAAGCTAGTTGACTTTGCCTTGAAACGAATGCGGAGTGCTCACGTGTTCTAGTCTGTTGATTTGGTTGTGGAGCTGGTTATCTTCTGCAGAAGGATCAAAACTTCAGAATTTTTTTTGTAGGAGCTTTCAGTTTCCTGGGAAATCTGCTTATTTCATGTGTGCTTTAAGAATGTTTTTCTGAAACAGATTTTTACAGTTTGTTGTTTCAGTACAGTCAGTCACTGCATCTAATCCCTTTTTTAAGTGCTCCAGCAAGTTGAAGAGTTCACCTTTGTGCCCATAAAAAATGTGAAGGTTTAATTGATATCTGTGCTTATATTATTCTCTTGATGAACAGTATGCTAATAAATGTCTCCAGTTCTTGTAGTGGATCATGAAGACCTCTAGTAACACAAACACTGTAGCTGATCTACAGAATGTCAGTAACGAAAGTATTTTCTATCAAATACTAATGAATTTGGTCCGGTACGTATTGTCTGATGCTACTTTCTCTTAAAATGAATTTATCGTTAGCTACTTTGCTTGTAACTATATACAATAGTGACGACTGATGAGAGCAAAACGCATCATATTCTTAACATATAGTTTTTCAGCATATGTGAAACTGGTTTTACTTTTGTGTTATACCTTGCATTTGTTTACTACTTAAATATGGATTTAATTTATTTGTTTTTAATCTCCCTCCTTCTCCTCTCAAATTACAGCAAAGTGTATCTATGGAGGCAAAGTGCTAGCAGAAGGTCAACGAGTATTATCCAAGAGCTGCAGGGAATGTCGAGTAAGTTTCAGTTGTGTAAACTTTTCCTGATGTTAAATATATGTGTGGTGTTGTAAAGTGACAATGATAAGTTAGTGCATTTCTTTAGGCTTCCTTCATGCAAATGTGACATCTGTTGTCTTGAAAAGGTGACATTAAAGTCAATGGAAGCCACAAATACGAAAACAAGGCAGGAACATGACCCTTGCAGGGTAATAAAAACATGGGCAAAGTGACTTGGAGGGACGTTTTCTCTTTTATCTCTGCTTTCATGAGCTCTGGAAAAAGGCAGCGGTGTCTTGAGCCAGTTACTAATTTCAGCCAAATTGCCAAAACTTGAAGCAACCTGGCTTATATTGTTTGAGTTACTTTAGCTTTTCCCTAGTATTATTTAAACTATATGTACCCCTGCTAATAATTGAGGTAAATTACTAAGTATTGGACTGGACTGGGGTCTTTTCTTGGCAAGTTCATAACACTTAGACAACTACAGTCAGTATTTAAGAATATAAGTAAACAGAGGCTGTGTTAGATAGGAACATTCAGGGAGTGTTAGTGGATGTAAGAGTGCTACATGGTGTGTAAGTGGGGCAGAAACCAGTTGTCAAGACTAGCCTTGGAAGAATAGAGTAGTAACAGATGATTATAAAAGGCCCGTTGCTCTGCTGAGACATGCATTTGTTGTGAGTATGCATGTGCTTTAAATATGATTTATCACTTCAGAAAGGCACAGCTATTTTAAACACATTAGCGCTCACATGTAATTTTCAAGTATTTTTGTCTTTACATCCTGTCGAATTTGTGGAGGGGGAAGGGCGATAAAGGGGAGGCTTACAAATGTTATTGACAGATCAGTATGCTAGAACAATTATGAAAAACATTTGGAAAAGATTACAACGCTCTGGTTATTGTTGTGCTTGTAGTTGAGTGTACAGAGTAGCAATTTTATGTTCACTAATGGAAACGGACAATAACTGGTTGCAGATGTTGTGAAAGCAGCTTGTTACGCGGAATTACTTTGCTGTTGTTTGTATTTAGCTGTATAGGGGTGCTCAACATTGTATATACAAATACGTGGGCAAGGTCGTTGCCTTGGAAGACAAAGGTGCCTGTTATTTATAATATGACATAGAATGTTTATTTTGGAGAGAAACCGCCTATATGAAATAAGGTGAGAACAGGAGGATTTTCACATTAAAGTGAAACCAGAGTGATCTGAATTATGTCTGTGGAACTTCTCTATGCTGTAAATAAGAGCGTTATAGTCATCGTTATGAGTATGATAATGCATTCATGAAGATTAAAAGCAAATACTGACCATCAAATAGCTGTCGTTTTAGAAATGACTAAAATAATAATGAAAAGAGCTTTTGCATTTCACTTATTGCTAAAGGCAGTTGATATGGCAATGCTAATTGCAGTAACGTCACAGTTTGTATTATTTACATCTTAATGGAGAGTATTTGAAACAGCATCTGTGAATGCAATACCATGAAAAAAATGGGTCCATGCCTCAAAAAAAAAAAAAAGTATTTCCATAGCTGTGTTTCAAGACGACATTAGACCTCACTGGCAAAGCTTGTCATTCTGACTTGGGAAAGTTTTTAAGTGGGTAAGTGGGTGCTTACCTCTGCTTCTATGAAGTGATGTGTCTCCAGACAGGAAGTTCATCCAATGTGTTTTCAGCATGACCTCTTGAAGCTCTAAGGAATACACCTACCTACTTTTTTACTGCCTCAATTGGGAACGCTCACTAGCTCAAGGATGAATGGTGATGAGTCAAACTGTGGCTGTAGTCATTGCCTTTCATCTCGTGCAGGCCTACTGGTGGACAAGGTGTTGTATGAATAAAGGAAGGGCTTTGTACTAGGGGAAGGACTATAAAAAATGTAATATGGTTTAATTTTCCAGACTTGAAAAACAGACATCAAGTTTGAAAAGCTGTTGATCCATGAAGGAATACAATAAAGGGTACACATCAACTGTCAATTAATTAGTGTTGATAAAGAGGACTTAAAAATCTTGGGGAGTAGCTCTTGTGTCTGTAGAGGAGGATGTATTTGTAGATGGGATAATGTAAAAAAAGATAAAGTTGAAACTTAACGTTTCAATTTTTATTTGAAGATAGATATTTTATTCTTTGCATAGGTACTGGGCCAAGCTTAAGAGGCTTTTAACTTTTGTATTTCTTCCATCTAACAAAAATCATAATAATACTGATGGATCTAGATAGATCAAAGATTTTCTTTATGAGGCTGTGAGCAGGGTTTTTTTTTTTTTTTTTTTTTACTTCTGAAAACTAATCCAGACTAAAAAAGTATTTATGATGCACATCCTCTTAACCATAAGCACAGATGTTACTGATGGACAGCCATTCCCGGCTGGAATCTTTCCCACAAACACTCTCTAGATTAATCTACGATGACAAAATGACAAATTTAGCATACAGGTTTTTCTAAGAATCACAGAATGGTTCAGGTTGGAAGGGACGTCTGGAGGTCATCTTGTCCAACACCCCTGCTTGAACAGGGCCACCTAGAGGCAGTTGCCCAGAACGTGCCCAGATGGCTTTTGAGTATCTCCAAGGATGGAGACTCCACAACCTCCCTGGGCAACCTGTGCTAGTGCTCGGTCACCCTTACACCGAGAAAGTGTTTCCTGATGTTCAGACGGACCCTCCTGTGTTTTGGTTTGTGCCCCTTGCCTCTGGTCTTGTCACTGGGCACCGCCGGAAAGAGCCTGGCTCTGTCCTCTTTGCACCCTCCCTTCAGGTATTTGTATGCATTGGTAAGATCTTCCCCGAGCCTTTTCTTCTCTAGGCTAAACAGTCCCAGCTCTCTCAGCCCTTCCTCCTTTGAGAGATGCTCCAGTCCCTTACTTATCTTTGTGGCCCATGGCTGGTCTCTCTCCAGTTGTTCCATCTCTCTCTTGTACTGGGGAGGCCAGAAGTGGACCCAGAACTCCAGGTGGGGCCTCACCAGCGCTGAGCAGAGGGCAAGGATCACCTCCCTTGACGTGCTAGCAATACTCTGCCTAACGCAGCCCAAGTAGCCTTTTTTGCCGCAAGGGTACGTGGCTGGCTCATCTTCAACTCGGTGTCTGCCAGGACCCCCAGATGCCTTTCTGCAAAGCTGCTTTCTAGCAGGGTCACCCCAGCACGCACTGGTGCGTGGGGTTGTTCCTCCCCAAGTGCAGGGCCTTGCGCTTCTCCTTGTTAGACCCCTTGCGGTTCCTGTCAGCCCATTTCTCCAGCCTGTTGAGGTCCCTCTAAAAAATGCAAGTGTGTTTGTGCTTTAGAAAAACTGCACCTTTCTGCATTCCGTAAGTGGTTATTTTGGTTTGTGGATTTCACCAATATGGTGATGTGGCTCGTTTGAACTCAGCGGAAAGAATTCTGTAACTTTTGTTGGACTGGGAGTTTACTGCCGCTCAGCTGACTTCTGGATTAATGCCCGTGAATGACATGATGCCTGTTCATGACTGGACGACGTGTTTGACAGCAAAGGGTAAAAGAATAAATTCCTTTTCATTAATGCTGGGAGCAGGCACTCAGAGAGTGCTGTACAAATGCTAGAAAGATGGACAGGGCTCCACTGACTTTCAGGAAGCTTGACTAAAGTTTTTCATAATGATAAGGAACAATGTGGTTCTTCGAGTGACAGCTAAGGACACAATTTGGAACTTTCTCCTGAAAGGCTGATCAATAACAGCTAAAACAAGGGGGGGGGGGGGGGGGCAAAACCCCCAAACAACAACAAAAACCCAAAGTAACCTTATCTGAAATCTTGCTATTATTTTCCAAAGCTGATCGTCTGAGATGAGCTGTTTGTGGTTCAGATTTTCACCACATGTCACTGATTAGGCTTATAGCCAATTCTTTTTTTATGTACTTATCTTGTAATTACAAGAAATTTAATTACCTTGTTGTAAACGTTTGACTCCAGATCTCATTCTTTGTGGACTGTATGTCACAGCTGGAGCTTGACCTGTTTATTCCAGAAGAATGTCTTTCTGACATCTATTTCTGTCCAGACTCTATGACTACATATGTGAATTGAGGATAAGAAGTCAGTAATTTTTCTAAGGCCGCCTGAAGCAATAATTCTGAAGTGTGAACTGTTCTTACTTATCTCAGTGGATAAAATCTGAAATCTAACAATGATAATTCTTACAATCGGATCTGTACTAGTGTATAACAAATTTATTGTAATCCAAAGAATACTCAACGTGGAAACATTTTAATTGTTTTAAAACTTACTTACAAATATGTTCAGCTTGTTTTCCCAAGATGCAAATTCTGCAGCAAATGGGAAACTGAGGGAAATAAAATCTTGCTGTCATTAAAGGAATGGAATTCTCAATTTGTGGGGTTTTTATCTCCCTGCGATTCACTAAAGAAGGTGTGAGCTTGGATTGAATTTGTCTTTAGATTTTTGACTCATCCTGACCACTGATTTGACTTTCATACGATTTCTTGATTTCTTGCCATCTTTTTGACTGGATTTATTGTCAGTCAATGCTTTTTGTCTATATGTTGACATACTGTACCCTCTCTGCTGCAGTTGTCTTGTCTGAGCTTGAATAGGCGATGAGTTATAGCCAGAGCGTTTCCAGCTGGTAGTTTGATAACATGATAGTAAATGACGGCTCAGTGTGTCTGGTTCTTTTATCACTTTTGCTGCTGCAGTTGCACAGGCAACCGTGGGGGATTCCTCCCTTTCACTTATGGAAGTGAGATCAGGAGGAGACCTAATACCTCCATTAACTTCACTGTTCTTGTGTGGGCACTTGCTTCAGTGGTGCATGCTGTATGTGGGGCTGTAGCGAGCTGCTTTTTTTTTTTTTTTTTTTAAGAAAAAAAAAAAAGAAAACCTGATGCCTGAGGGGTTTTTTTTTAATATTATTTTTCATGATGGCAACTGATGCAACTTGCCAGTAAAGACAGTTGGGAAGCAAGAAAAATAACTTGACCCTGCTTAGCCTTAATGTTGCAGTCTCAAGGGCAGTGACTAGCAATGATTGTAGAATGGTCAGTTTTGCATTCCCTAGGTCTGCTGCACTGCTCAGTTGTAAGTCCTACTAGCTGCCGGGCATCTTGTGCATCATTTGCACCTCGTAGACTCAGCAGGCATTTCTGCATTCATGACTCTGTAGGGCAGCTTGATGTTGTGAGAACTAATTCTGGAGCCTGAAGTGACATAGCTGAAGCAGCGTGGCATGGCTGGTAAGGGCTAATTACCAGCAAGGGTTTTACCTGTACTGGTTCTGGCACCTGAGCTAGTCTTTTGGCACGGTGTGGCACAGGGTCTTAAAGATGAGAAAGCAAGCTTCTGGCTAGCAAGCGTGTCCCTGTATAGGGGTGCTTCTTCGTACAGAGTAGACACACAGGTGTTGTCAATATCCTCTGTTCAAAGCTCCGTATCTGATCCCTCAGATGATGAGAATGGTGGCTTTAATATCATATTTTGTCTTTTTTTTTGGTATTGGATTTCCTCTGCTTTCTTAGCCCTAGGTGTGTTTAGATCATATTTTTAAACTTTTCTCTTCAATCATGATAGCTGGAAAATGTAATTTATTTCTTTGAAGAAAGCAGAAATTCTTGTTCCATCTTTTTGTTCCACCATCTAGGGCATCACGAAAAATATTTTGGAGGAGTAGGGACTAGATTCGTATTAAAAAGGTGTATTGGCAATATAGTAGGCTGCCTGCTTTCTTAGTGGAGTTTTACAGCCCTTTGGAAAATGGGATTACTCGGGTGCAGACGGTCGTGTGGGATAGTTATTGTAGCTCCTACTGAGCAAAAGTCCTGGTTGTTAATCTCTGCTCCCCTTGCCAGTTCGCAGGGATGGTGTAGCTGCAGAAGGGGTGCTGAAGAAGTAAGTTATGCCATGGGGAAGGCTGGAGAGGGATAAGGGAAAAGAGGAAGCTATTTTGGGACAAGATGTCAAGAAACAACTAACTGAAGAGCAAGACAGCTGTTTGCTCTAGAGATACGGTGAAGCTTATTTCCTGGATGGGAAGGAGACAGAGTAAAATTTGGTGTAAAATCTCTCCAGAAACGCTCTGTCTATTATTTTAGGAAATTTCTACCAGTAACTAGGCCTTCTATGCACAGTCTTACTCTAAATCTGCCAGAAATCAAAATCATAGAAATATCTTGACCTCAGTTTGCATTTTATACAGCAATTTCTATATGGATACCTCAAGGTGGGATTTCTGCTTTGCCATATCTTTGAAGGAGCTAGTTTTTGGAAATTAGGTGATCAGTAATTCTAAAGAACAGACACTTTTAATTGGACACAGAGAACAACACGTGATACTTGAAAATGTTGGTCTTCTATCTGCTGTGTTTGAGTTGAATAACTTATCAGTGAATTATGTAGAATATGAAATAAGAAGAGTAAAACTTGGACATGCGTGAAGCAGGAAGGCTGTCTGTAACAAAAATCTGGAGTGAGATTCTTTAATTCCTTCAAATACTTGGAAGGAAAACAACTGTACCTGGAGACAATGTATTTGGAAAAACTGTTACAGAATTTTGAGCTTAAGTGCCCTTCCCCTGTAGAAATGTCCAAGTAGATCACTTCAGTTTTCGTGTTACGGTATAAAGAATGAATTTAATTTGCTGCCTGCTAGTTTACCTGTGTAGTTACTAGAGACTACCAGAGTTACAGATAGAAAATTACGTGATTCTTGCCATAGCACGTGTTTTCATCAATGTAATTTTTAAAAATGTTGTTTATTTTTCAGAACGGAGTTTTAGTTAAAGTGACAGAGGCTTGTCCACCATTGAACTGCTCAGAAAAAGATCACGTTCTTCCAGAGAACCAATGTTGCAGTGTTTGTAGAGGTAAGCCAGACACTACGTGTGCTTGGAAGGAATGTAAGTTGCTGATTCACCGGGGGGGATACACTGGAAGGAGCAATTCCCTTTTAATGAGATATTAGGTACCTCTCTAAACCTGACTCTATAATTAGCCTTCACGTAAAACCAGTCTGTGATATTCCTTTGGGTAGAAGACTTACCAGATACAAAGCTGTAATTGCTCTGAATGAGAGAGGGGGAGGGAGAAAAGGAAGAGTTGGGGGAGAAAGGGCTCAGTATCTTTTAAGTATTCCTATTAGGAAGAATTTACGTTTGAAAAAGAGGTACTTTATGCTGCTTAAATTTGCCACTGCACTGAATGTACAGGGTTTTGGAAATGTGTTTTTAAGTTCTCTGTTTTAAAATCACAATAATGTTAAGGTTTTGGTATTTGGAGGTTTATTTAGATCTCGGCTGTCTCGGGACTCATTTATGAATTAAGCTGGACAGTTACAGAATAAAAATGAAAAAATAACCCTTGAGCCCAGAACCCCGTTTTTCCTCCTCACAGTGGGGTGTTGAGGTGCAGGTTCCTCTTGCTTGTTCCCTTTCAGCCCTGGTGAATCCTGGTTGCATGCTGGACCAGACTGAACAAACCATAGCTGAAATGTTAGTTGAGGCAATCCCCTTAAATGAGGAGAATGCAGATATCGCAAGGCTAGAGAACGAGAACAGGCTCTCTTCTTAAAGTGTGTTGTAATCAGTGAGCTCTTAGGTGAAAGGTGTTAGAATAATCATTCCCTGTGTACGTCTGTTTTGTACCTCTGTTCCACACCTCTCCCTTGGTGCTGAGTCTCAGCTGAGCTTAAGGGGAGCCTGGTCTCTCAGAGCAGGACTTGCGTGTCAGCCTGTAGTGATGCACCTCAGAAATTTCAAGCCAGAGGTGTGCCAAATGAGCATTAAGCATTTCCAGGCTTAGATGGTTATTTGGGCCCGCTGGACTACTTGTCTTGCCCGTATGTAGATTCCTCCAGCGTCGTCGTAGACGCCAATGAAGGGGCTCTGAATCTCTCCCTTAGCCAGTAAATATTAATTAATAAATATGCATAGTTAAATATTTACTAAGGCCTTGAACTTGCAAGCATATGCACGTGGTTGCAGGGGGCAGCACGTCTGAGCTATTTAAGCAAGCAGTAACTGTTGCTTCTTTGTCCCTCGATGTCTTAATGATACTGCTTAACAGATGGCCCAGTTTGATGTAGTGCAGTACTGAAAAAATTATCTTCATTACTTAAAAGCATTAGAAATCTGAAAGCTTCAAAGTTGATGAAAGATAAGTTCTGTAATTATTCAGTTCTGTCTTATTGTTAATGATAGGTACTCCTTTTAGATATTCATCCCCAAAGCGTCTGTATGTGAATACTTATGTATGAATATGTATACTGATGTGATGGTCTCTAGAAGCAAAGGAAGGAATTGTACTTTCACTTCCTGTGAATTCTGATACATGGTGCTTTCAAATTGATACATTAAACTTCCACTTCAATTCTGCTTTAGCCGACAGCTAAAACTCTACCACCTATTTTGTATTTCATCTTTGCTTTTTAAAATTCTTTGCAAATTATGCTTAAAGATATGATTAATTTTGTCAACTTTTACAAAGGCATAAATTGAAGTTAGCACTCCTAAACTGCTTTTTATATCTTGAAATAGAATATATGCTGCTTGACACTTCTGCTTCAGTTGCACGCAGCCCGAAGTGGTAGTATGTAATTTTATCATATGTAGAGTGCTGGTGTTAAAACCGGATGTTTATTAAGAATTCCATATTTGGTATGGGTTTTATCCTGCAAACAGATGCCCTCTGATATGGCAGGCAGGCCATAGTTTCTGGTCCTGCCCTGTGCCAACATGTCCTTTACTGGGAAAGGATAGAATGCTTCTCTGTTTTGCAATAATGACCTCTTTCAGAGTCTATATTCAACTTTTATTGTCCAAGCAACAGTAGTGAGGAAGAAAGATTGTAGTAAATATAGTCCTGAGTAATCAGAGCATTTATTGGAAGCCCACCCACATGGATCACTTGCACATCATGTGCAAATTTCACATTATATGTATGATGATACAGATAATTATTTGCATTAGCCCTTAGCTAGGCTTTTAGTTAGTCAACAGGATGATCAGTAAGCATTTACTAGTAATGTTAAATGAGAACAGTAATTCTATGTGAAGTTTATTAGTGCATAATAGTCACTGGTAGGTTCTGTTTTTGTATCAGTTTGTGCTTTCTTTAGTATCTAGTTGTGGAAACGGAAACCTTCTACTGAATTTTGTGTTCTGTAGAATTATAGAGTACCTCTGCTGAATTGGGCAAGGGTAGGAAGTTTGCAGCATGTGCTTTTCTGGCAGCAGCAAAGGAATTTCCGTTTAATGAAAGGATAAATGTGGGGGATCAACGGAAGGAAAAAAGCCACAGAGGAATACGGAAGCTTCATGATACTGTGGTATGAGACTGTACCCTCTTTGGGAATCTCTGTAATATCTACCACAATAATAGATAAGTGCCTAAAATAAAATAGGGTATGCAAGGAAAAAAATAAATCTGTGGTGTTTATGGTGATGGAAATTGTGAGTCAGCAAAGGACCAAGTTGAATACTATAATGTACACAGCTGGTGGGCTTCCTAGATAGTCATTATTGTTTGTAAATGGTTAGGAAAGTAAAGACAGCAAATAATACCTTTTCTTCCTCAGTTTTGCTACATGAGTTTATAGTAGGGCAAAAGCTAATACATTGTTAAAAGCCAATTTCTAGATTTCAGTAAAATGATTGTATAAGGTGTACAGCGGGGCAGGTGTAGTATGGAAGACCTCTGCTGTACAATGACGGCTTATTTTTGTGATTTGTTGTACCTGAATGCAAAAATGGGCCTCATCAGATCCGTATGTAGAATCTATCCTTGAATGTTATGTAGCGTGTACCTAGTTTTGCCCTTCATCTGTGTGCTTTAATATAAATGTCTGCTTAAACTGTGTGGCTACTTTTTATACTTTTCAGCAGGGCATTGTGGTATTATCAAGCTCTCTTCTAGGCTTACAGAAATTTTAGTTAATTTTAAAATCTTACAAAGAATCATTGTGTATAAAATAAATTTTTTACTACTTTTTTGAGAATCAGTCATTTTTCTTACAGCGTGCCTGCTACATTTTTTTATATCCCAGGGACAAATCTAATACAAAAAATAGTGTCATAAAAGTGTTTTATTGTTCCCTTTAGCTGTTTTTCTCCTTGCCAAAGACAGTGTATAATTTTGAAAGAGTGGCTTTTTCCTCTTTTGAATGACTGATTCAAATAAAGTTTCATGAGAGAATTTTTATGTTGTTATGCTCACAATTTTAGTATGTAAGAATAGCCTTAACAGCCCTAGCAGCTTCAGTCATGCTCTCCTTAGAAGAGAGTGTGTGAAGAAATAATGAAGTAGTGAGAGCTGTTTGGTTTCTGGAGAAAGTAATTTTTATTTGCTATCCTGTAATATGGTTTGGCTGATGGATTTAGATTGACTGCTGACACTGGTTAGCAGGAAGCAGAGAATCCTACTGGTGAGCTGAAGTGTGTGTTTTACAGCAGGGAACAGCATTTAAATCCAAAAATGGTGCTTCTGCCACCCTGACTTGTATTGCTTTGTTTTGCTTTAAGGAGGTTTTAATTTTTTCAATTAGAGAATGAGAAGGCTCTTCAGTTAGCATGTTTCTCCTCTCTCCCTGTCTGCCTGTGAAACTGAGTTTTGCTTTATCAGAAATCGAATGTTTCTCATTCATTGCTGTGAGGTATGAGTTATTTCAAGGTTTTAGTTTTATTAAGATTTAATGGAAGTTGATAAATATGAATTAGTTTATTTCTAAACATAGCTATAATGTTACTTCGGATTTAGAAGAGCTTTATATCTGGAAAAAAAAAAATCTTTATAAGCTTGTTAGGCTGTGCGGTACCGTTATTCTAATGCATGCAGATAAGCAGTATGTAATAAGGTCTGCATTGATATAGTAGCTGGAAAGAATTTACGAAGTTACTGTTTTATGTCAGACCACTGAGTTCTGGGACCACAATCTCTGAAGGCGTAAAAACTGCTGTTCAGGGTGCTTCATTGCTCATGACTCATTAAAAACTGATTCAGATTATGAAAGGGCATAATTGCTAGTGCAAATTTTATGACTCCTCCTATGAGCTGTCCCCCAGATTTACTTTATGCGTTTATGTAGTAACTGTGGGGTTAAATCATAACAATAGTAAAGATTTTGAGGTTGAAATTACCTTAGACCTTTTGAACATTGCTGATGCTATTAATGGAAGCATCGTCAGCGTTCTTGTTAGAAGCCTCTGAAATGTGAAACGTGGATTGCTGAAGGGTAGCTTCTTGAACAGCAAGAGAACAGGTGTGTTCCAGTTTTTGAAGTGAACAGCTAGGGATATTGTAAGAAGTACAGAAAGCATTACAGATGTTACAAGGAAACCCTCAGAAAAATGAGAGGCACGTTAGTGTTGCCCATAAAAAAAGTAGGAAGAGTTACGGGTATAAGATACATTGATTTCAGCTGTAGTCTTGAATGAGTTCTTGCATTAGTCAGTCAATAATTAAGCCAAATTGCCTAGTATGTTAGGTACTTAAAAACTGGATGACAGCACAAAACAGCTTACCATGCTGCTCTGGAAAAGTGGATTCTGGGAACTGGAACCTGAAGATGTTGAGAAGCTTGGAAAAATAAGAAAAGCAATGTTTGGATGTCCCAAAATGGAATAAATGTTTAATTTTAGATAACCTGACTTGGGACCGCTAAGGCCTAGCCAGTTGTGCAGTTCCCGGTGCTGCAGAAGTGATAGTTTTATGTCTGCTAGCTTGAAATCTGGTCTCTTTCATAATTGTCTTACTACATTTATTAATGGTCATTCCACAGTCGGAAGAAAGAAGTAGAAAGATACAAATATGTTCTTAAGAAAAATTGGAGCAAGCATTTCAGCAGCCTTGATAAAGGAAGAGTGTAATGTTATCAGAAACGTTTGGGGAAGGAACAGAGGTCATCAGGCCCATCAAAAATCTAAACACACTCTTCAATATTTAATTCCCCTGTTGGTAATACCTAATTGTATTTTGAATGTCTTGAATGACTTTGAAGGGCTGTTGTGCACATTTATGACCATGTGTGTGTATGTGTATGTGTGGGGAAGATGGTTTCTGACATCTGTTCTGAATGTGTTTATCTGTAATTTTAATTCATGCTCACTTGCCTTGTCATCTGTGTTGGCCTGAAATTAGTTTAGATTATCAAAACTATTTAAGATTTTGTGTGCTTCTGTCAAATCCACTCCAATTGCCTGCTTGCTCAGATGTGATGATTCTATTTTAAGCCATTTCTTATATTTAGAGAGGAGCTGACTGTGTCGGATAAGACTTTGCTGAATATTCTGAAGTCTCAGTAATTCGGTTATTTTTACCTGGGCAATCGGAATGCATGCCCTCTACTAGCTGCCACCCATGGTTGAGGTTCAGAGACCCCACTACGGTATCGATGGGTGGTTTTGCCATCTGTGTACGTATTTTAAAGGAACCCTATAATCCATTTCGCACCAAAGAATTACTAAAAATCAGATGTTTGCATTCTTTTCCATTCTGCTTGCTTGGGGATAAGTAATTGGTCCCATGAAAAGACTGGCCATGAATAGATTGATGTTTAAGTCAGTGCTTCGGTCTCTCCCTGTTTAATCAGGAATATAAGCATGGTTGTCACGGTCAGTGGGCCTGTGTGCATTCCTGACTGTTTTTCTGAATAAGAATGAATTAACATATTTACCTAAAGTAGGCATGGAATTGGGATTGTTAAATGTGAGAAGAACAGAGCTAGCTTATTTCTTCATGTTGTAGTCCAAATATGAGGTGGCCTTTATTTACCAGAAGGGCAGGAAAAGCACTCAGGCCCAATATAAACTAAGATAGAGTAGATAGCATTTTAGTCCTTTCTTGCCTCCAAAACCCCAGCTGGGGAGAATGCAGACCACGGTCTAAGAAAGGCAAGAACCACACTTCCTCGGTATGCACCTCTTAGCTCTTTTGAAGTGCTAAATGTGCATCTTCACTGCAAAAGAAAAGTACTTGGAAAAGCTCTCTGATCCAATCGATGGCATGCCTACTCTGACAGAGGCACAGTGAACCCTTACTCTCCTATACCATCAAGTATCTCTCCCCTCCCCCCCCCCCCCCCTCGCGTGTCCCCTTCCATCAACACCTTTTTTTAAAATCT